AGAGAGAGAGAGAGAGAGAGAGAGAGAGAGAGAGAGAGAGAGAGAGAGAGACGATAAGTCTCCAACCCCGCGGCTCGCCGGACGCTACTTGGATCGATAGAATGAGCAAAATTGAATGAATCGTCCGCTAGAATATTGAAATATACACTACGACACGTGCGTGTGTGTTACGATACGTTACCCATGGCACAAAACGCCAAGAACCCCACAGCAAGCTGTGATACGACCGTTCAGACCACAGGCTAATACTTGCATCCGGACTTACGCTCTTCATCGTTGGGAGTAGCGATAGAAGCCCGCTGGGTGATGTACTACGGAGTACGGACATAGGCTAGCAAGACCATACTCAAAACAACAAAGAAAAAAAACAACCACCAAGAAACAACAGGCAAAGCAGCAAGACATGAGTACGGAGACAACACATAGGCCAGAGGGCACGGGGGAAAGGGGGAGAGCAGACGACGCACAAGGTACTAAGGGAAAGACATGAGGTGAGAAGGCATATTAGGATGACAAGCAGCAGCAAAGGACAGGCTGGAGGGCACGGGGGAGGCGGGAGGACGACACACAAGGCACTGAAGGGGGAACGATATAAAGCGTCAAGGCATAGAATGATAACCATCAGCAAAGACATGAGGCAACAAGGCATAGGACGATAAACAGCAGCAGCAAAGACATGAGGCGACAAGGCATAGGACGACAACCAGCAGCAAAGACATGAGGCGTCAAGGCATAGGACGTCAAACAGCAGCAAAGGACAGTGGGTGGAGGGCACGGGGGAGGTGGGAGGGCACATATACACAAAGTATACCAAGCGGACAAGACACCAGTATATCAAGCTGATAGCACACCAGCACACCAAACACAGCAACCAAACCAAGCAGATAACATACAAGTACATCAAGCAGACGACACGCAAAGACACCAAAGTCCCAAAAAAAAATTCAAGGACTGAAAAAAATAAAAAACCGATGATGACAAGATTGTTTCGTCGGAGTTGCACCGACTCATCAGGAGGCTGAACCCTCGACAATCTATAGAATCCCCGTATTTGATGGTTTGGGTCATGAACCCTTTGACCCATGTTGAAGGCAGACTGTCCCCAACCGGGACATAGCAGCGGGCAGCAACCCTGTGGAGCACCAGGCAACACAGTAGAGGCAGCCCAACCGCTTATCACCAAAGACGACTGCAACGGACGACAGGGCAAGCGGACGAGCAGCTCGGCAACCTTGCGGTGAAGTGCAAGGCAACATCAGCAAGGCGACCAGACTACAAGGCACGCAAGCAAGTAAAGGACGTGGAAGGCCAACAGGGCAAGCAGACAAGCAGCTCGGCAACCGTGCAGTGAAGCACAAGGCACCACCAACAAGGCAACCAAACTACAAGGCATGCACGCAAAGAACACCGAAGGCCGACAGGGCATACGGACAAGCAGCTCAGCAACCGTGCAGCATAGCGCGAGGCACCGCCACAAGGCTACCAAACCACAACGCACACGAGCAAAAGACACGGGAGGCACGACCCGCGGGTAGGTGGCAAGGCAGCAGAGCAGCGAGGACGACCTGCAAAGCAAGCGGCACGGGCAGCAAGACCGCGGCAGAGCGCAGACAAGACAGTCAACACATCCAACACGAAGCAAAGCAGCACATGACCTACTCACATCACGATAGAACCCCGCAGACTGTTGGTTCCCACCACCCGGTGAGCCAGGGGGACACTCCGACGACCATCCGTCATCACCGACAGGCAACACAGACATCCCGAACCGAGCGGCCCCTCTAAGAGTGCAGTAGGCACTCCAAACGAGGAACCACCGACTGTTTGGCACTGCTAGAGGGTGCTCGGCTAGAGACACAAAAAGCACTTAGAAAAAATAGGAGAAAGAGGAAAAACAAGCATACCTAAAACTGATTTTGTGTGTGTGTGTGTGTGTGTGTGTGAGAGAGAGAGAGAGAGAGAAAGAGAGAAAGAGAGAGAGAGAGGGCACTTCCATCGATCACAATCGAAAGTGTTGTCCGGCAAGTGTGGGCCATATTCAACCAGGTAGTGTATATTTCCATGTTCTAGCGGAAGATTCATTCGATTTTGCTCATCCTATCGATGGAAGTAGTAGCGACTTATCTGCTCTCTCTCTCTCTCTCTCTCTCTCTCTCTCTCTCTCTCTCTCTCTCTCTCTCTCTCTCTCTC